GGTGCTCAGGAGACACTGACTCCCAGTTTCTGATGGCTGCATCACTAATCTGTCACCACAGTCACATCACCTTCTCCTCCTGTGAGCAAAACATCACCTCTCACTCTAACAACCCAAAATAACCTGCCATTTTTAGCCTGCAAACATTACAGTAAACCTCTTTTTTGCCATATAAGGTAACAGCCAAAGGCTCCGCAGATTAGGGAGTAGAATATTTCCCTACACCTGCTTCCAAGCACACTCAGACAATAAAGCAAGCCTGTCACTGTGCCTGCTCTGATCTACTTCTTCCTAAATTCTATCATAAACATAAGTTGTCCCACTCTCTACCTCTTCCCGCCTCAAAATCTACCTATGACCACAACATTATTACCTACATATTTATCAAAGACATTATTTTATTACTATTGGTAGTAGATTTTAAATGAGAAAAAAAACAGACTCAAACATCTAAAATCCATAATAGAATGCTGATTAAGATCAGGACCTTGTAAACTGTAAACACCTTTATATAATAACTCATTCCTCAAATGACAAACAAGTCTACTAACTAAACTTTGTGGAAGCCATGGCCTTGGTCTGAGCCTCTACTCTCAACACAACCGACCAAACCAAAGAAGTTTAATCACAGTAACTGAGTTCAGCTGGTTACAGAACATCCCAACACCAGTTAACTGATTAGGCTAATAAAGCAACTAGTTAGTTCAGCTATAACCAAAAGACTGACTACCCAGACTTCCTATACCTTGATGTGTCCTGGTTCCCGAATGCTGACAACAATCTGCTAGGAGCTCCTCTAGCTCTGCGAGTTCTCTCATCCCAGTAGTTTGTTTTACTCAAGTAAACTCTAGTAAATTAACTGGTCTAAGGTCTGTTCCCTTTAACACCAAAATACTCCAATTAAATATATTGATATGTATAAGGCTTGCTCATTCAAAAACAATGCCTCCAAATGGTAAATATACCCCAGTCTCAATTGCTAGACTTAAGACTCAGGGATCATTGCAGAAAAGGCAGGACAGAAACACCGTAAGAGCCACAGTAACAGGATCAAAACAAAACAAATTCTCACAACCAAAACTGAAGGAATTATAAAGATATAATCGAAAAAGAGCAATCTTCTTGATAGAAACCATTAAAGGCAAGTTCACACCTAAATGGTGTGAGAATTTTTAAAGACTATCCCTAAGAACTCCTCTTCCCACTTGAATTAATGATTTACAGGTCTTGTGCTAAATACTGGCACCCACAAGACAAATGGAGTCTTCTCCCAAAAGCCACGTCTTGGTCAGTCTGGACCTAGTGACAGACGTTGAGTAGCTGTGCGTGGCTAACAGCAATTAGAGGATGAAGCCACTGCAAGTCTTTTCACAGCAAATAGGAAAACTTCTCCACTTAGTTCTGTCCTAGACAGGAAAGAGGCCAAAGTGCTGCCTACAAGACCAAGAGCAGGTTCCAGGTGCAATTATTTTACTGAATTCTATCTCCGTCTTAAAGTCTCTAGAGAGACCACCCTTCCCTCTCTGCACATTCCAACTGTGCTGCTCCCTCGCACACCCCAGGGCTATCTCAGCACCTAAATATACAGTGCTTCCTGTAACAGCCAAGATGGTAGGTTTGCAAATAGCACACAGTAGTTAATCCAGCCCAACATCAGACAGTTACAGACCAACATCTACTATTTACTTATCTAGGAAGACAGGAAATAAGCTACAAATACTTTTACTTAATTTTCAAATGTCTCAAAGCCCACAGTTTTACATTCAGTAGAAAGCAAGGATTCATTTGTCTGTCTCATCAACACAGGATCCAGTTAGGTACCAGATATGTCGCTTAACTAAGACAGGAACCACATGACCAGTTTACAATCGGTGCTACTACTGGCTTGCCTTTTTATAGATGTGAACAAAAAAAGCAAACTACTAAATTATCCCCACCCTTGCCACACAGCAAAGCTACATTACTTGTTCTAAAAGCTCAGAAAATGCCAGTGACCCAGTGAAATCAGGCTAACATCACTTCATCTTCATCTCAATCAAGAAAAAGCCAAGAATTGACTTGGCATCCAGCAATAAAGCTGACTAAACTACAGACCAATCATGCCATCCTGAAACAAGAGTGCCATTATGTGGTTACCAGGCAGTGGAAGGCTGAAAGGGCTGTTCAGAGGGCAAATGACACTAAGCAATGGGTCTCTGGCAAAAACAAAGGTGGAAGACTTCAATAGGAAAAAGTAGTCCTAACTCAACTGTATCCTCAAGCTTCTGGTGGACACAGAATAGCACCTCCACAGAAAAGGACCCCAGTTAAGGCCTCCTGGAATCCCACTGGCTTAATGTGATACACTTACGTAAGCCAACAAGAAGCAAAAAGCAAGCGTGATACACTTACATAAACCAACAAGAAGCAAAAAGCAAGCAGCCATCAAGTCAAGCCAATGTAGATCCAAAGACTGCACACACCATAACTATTGAGGAATAAACAGCCAAGACCAGAGGACTATCAAGAACGCCCAGAAAGGTGTGAAAAAGAAGCAAGTGGAACTTACCAAAATAAAAGCAACTGCTAAAGTCAAATATCCAAAATAGTAAGATAGAGAAGACACAGCTGACGGCAAGTGGATAGAACAGAAGACACGTGTAAAGAAATTACTGAGGACACATCCTTCTCCAGAGTCTGGCTGATAAGTGCAGCTCTCCTCAGCAAGGAAACTTCTCTTTGCAACAGATGAAGTCCATTGTGGAAAACCACAACTGATCAAATACAGAGTTGTAGAGCCCGGTCAAGTTTATTCATCTACAAAACAACCCAAGGCTCAGGGGGTCACTGCAGAAGAGGAGACAGAAAGATGATAAGAGCAGGAGGAACAGGAAGTGTGCTGTGAGATTCTGCCCCCAAGAAATGTCAGAGAAGCTATACCCAGGAAGTCTCAACAACATGGCGGCCTGAACAATAAGAGCACCAATAAGACATGCTAATGTGGAAGGGGAAAGCTCAGGAGGATTCAACCCTGGACAAAGAATTTGAGGCAACTAATGAATGCCGAAAGCAGAACCGTCTTCCCCAGGAAAGAGCAAAACAATCTACTATCCAATAACAAACGATCAGCCCTGAAAACAGGCATAATGGTCTTCATCTGCTACAAAGTTTCCTTGGGAAGGAGAACTAGACTTATCACCAAGACTCTGAAGAAGGATGTACCCATACAGTCCGTTACAGGGACTGAGTAGGTTGTATTATCATATTTAAGATTATATATTTATAGTTTACATATATATATGTAACAACTAAAGAAAAAGAGACTGTAAATTTTAAGAAAGGAGGTGGTATATAGGAGGAGCCGGAGGGAGGAATGGGAATAGGGAAAATGATGTAATTATATTATAATCTCAAAACATTAAAAAATTGGGCCGGGCAGTGGTGGCGCACACCTTTAATCCCAGCACTTGGGAGGCAGAGGCAGGCCAGCCTGGTCTACAGAATGAGTTCCAGGACAACCAGGGCTACACAGAGAAACCCTGTATCCAAAAAAAAAAAAAAAAAAAATTAAAAATTAAAATAATAAAATTAATATGTAAGTAAATGTCTAACTGCAGAGATCATCAAGAATCCAAATTACTTCTAAATGAATTATGAAGTCATGATTCAAATCAAGCCCCACCCATGAGCTCAACGTTGTAGAGTTCAACATCTTGAACTTCAACATGTTGTCTTCTAGATTTCATTTCACCTATGCATGACTTTTAACAAATGGTATAGTCAGTACGGCATACCTGAGAAATAAAAAACACAATCACCAGCCTTCATTAAAATCAAACATTTATTCAAGAATGCTATGTTGTAAGCTATAGAAAACCGCACTTCCATGACAGTCCAGACAAAATACACTGAGTACTAACCCAGAGAGTAAATTATAAAAGGAAGAGATGGCATCATCCCATGAACCTATCATGACCAAGTTAACTCTCTCCTAGTCAGTCTCGAACCTGGCAGATCGGAGTAACGAAGCACAACCCTCTCCACAAAGTGTTGCTATCCCTCTTGTTATTTTGATGCCCACTTCTGTGTAATCAATCCCTACTGTTGCTCAGTAAGGATCTCAGCATCCCTTATCTCTGCTCTCAGCTGTATTCAATTACAAGTAAATATTATACTTAGCAATTGATTCACAATCTATTATATCCATAATTTGGATAATCATGGCTTAAATTCCTGGTATTGTATTTGACAAGAAAAGGCAAGTGTTGTTACTATCAACAAAAAAAATAATAATAATAATTTTTCCCATACTTCTAAGGAAAATTAACAGTCAGTATTAAGTCTCCAATTCTCTTGGACTAATATCAAAATCTACCAACCCACACAATCAGACAAACCGAATGAAATCATTCTCATTACCTATTTATCTTCCAGCTGACATTAACAAAAAGCTTACCTACCAAGTGCTAATCATAGCTCTTCCTTAAGCTTTAAGAATGCAAAGCCAACACGATTAACGAGTTTCAGATACTTGAAGAGTCCTTCCAAGCTAAACATGACATTCTTTAGCAGTGACTACACAACCCGCCAAATTTGAAAACGAGTTGCCTCAACGTGTAAAAATATGTCCACCTTAAAAGGTTCTTGTTGAATTAAAATATTAGACGTGGGAGGGAGGACTATCAGCTAGAAGTTCACTTTCTGTCTTACAGTCTGTTATACTAAAGGGGTGGGGTAAATTTTAACTTTTTTAAAACGCAGAATCCGCCTTGATGACGTCAGTACATAGTCATTTGAACTGTCTTTCAGATCCGCCCTAAGAATTGCGGGGCTTCACAGACACCAGGGCATTCGTTCCAGGACGGAATCGAATCCCGCCCTGTCACTGTGGATCTAAGCGGATTAATAGCTCTGGCCTTCCGAAACAAACCTAGCTCCCAGCTCCCGGGGATGTCACCTGGGGCACAGGGAGTTGAAAGCCCCGGGAGTCACCGGACCCCGTGGCTCTGGCCCACACTTACCAACTTGGGACGTTTCTCCCCGGGTTCGTAGGGGCCAGCGGGCGGCGCGGACGGTAAGCCCTTCCTCCGCGGCGCCTTGCTGTCCCGTCCGAGTGCGCGCGCCCGGTGCCTCTCCATCCTCCCGGGTCTCGGTCGCGACCTGATCTGAGGCTAGGCTCCGCAGGCTCACCTTCCGGGTCCCACGCCCGCTGCGCATTAACCGCTGCACACGGCTGGGCCAATACATCTGAAATCTCCCGCCACCACAAGCAGTCGAGGCAGCCAATCCCGCGCCGCGGAACCAGTGACGTAACGCCCCGCCTTTTCCGGGGATGCCAAAGCCTGGGCCTGATTGGCCCTTCGGCCTGTCCATCTCGTTTCTCGCCCTCTGGCTGTGCAAGCCGCTCACCAGAATGTACTTAGTAAGTAAGGTTTGCAAGGAAGGTTGAGCTAATGAGAATCTTTAGCAGGGCTTTCCTTGGACTTTTAGAGTAGGTTCTTGAAAAATCTGTACCTCAGGGAACTTCTCCCCGAACTGTTTGAGAAGCGTTGACTGTGAAAGCAACTGATAAGCCGTCTGACTGGTCTCTGGAGGTCTCAGGGTCTAGGAGAAGCACTTCTAGGTTCTACTTGCCAGCTCCCATGCCTCTTAGAAGGGAAGTTTAACCATATTTGATTACCGTTTATATAAAAGTACAGCTGTCGCCTCAAAGGGAATAGGAGAGTTCATACTAGAACCAGAAACGAGTGACCATAGCCAAGTGAAAAGAAAGCCATGAAAGGAAATCATCAAGGAACTTTTCAAACATTAGGACAAACAAGCCCTCAGGTGCTATGAGATGCACAATCTTTGGTTTAAGGTTTGTAGAAGTTAGTCGCTTTTTTTGTTGTTGCTGTTGTTAGTTGACTTTTAAGGAAGAGCAAAAGGCATCACATGATAGTCCTAAGAATGTTAGATCTAGCACAGTGATAAATGGTAGTTAAGTGAGCCAAGATTACTTGGCCCTGGATTTTCAGCATTCCAACTCTCAATAATCATAAGAATTCTAACCAGTCAATTAAGTGCGTAGAATTGTTAGTACAGGTGTGGCTTTTTCTGGAACTTCGGTTCACATTGTTGAGCGCTTACAGCACGCCTAAAAGCCTAAGTGCTGACTCGGGGTCAACCAAAAATTGAAAGGGACACATTCCAAACAACTCACAGCTTAATGTGTTTCACAGATGTTGACCCAAATAGCCAATGTAAAATTATAACAGCCATTCTGCAGGTTTTAAGTTCAGGTGGCAATCCTAATTATAAAACAGAGGAAAGATAAGGTGTTAGCGTCAGAACCTGGGTTCAAGGCAAGCAAGCGCCTATCCCCAGTATGCCACTTATAACCATTAGTAATGAAGAGAAAACTCTGGAGATCCATTCAGTGTGACTACACAAGGAAGAGGAACAAATAAAGAGATCCAGGAATCACACAAGTCCGTTTTTGGATCCCTGACATGTGGTTTGGATTTAAATAGTGGGCAAGTTCTGGGCACTCTGAAAATCTGGCATCCTCATTGTCATGGCTCCCACAAGGTGATGACAAGTCCTGAGTCACATCTCTTCCTAGGAGATAAGTTGCCCCTCTGGCTGGCACCAAGATTCACCCTTTTTTCTTCTCTGTTGTTGAATGGAGAGTGGCTGGGTGGTTACAATAGAAAGGATAGTGGCAGAAAACTGGCAGGGCATTCACATAAGAGGCATAGCAGGCAGCAAAACCAAGAGAGGTCAAGAACACAGAGTTGACGAAATGTATCTGGCATATATTGAAGAATTTGTTGTGTACGCTGAAGGTCAAGTTACGATACTAATGCAGTTTTCTCACACATCACTGCCTCTCCCCCCTTTAAACATCATCTTTGCCTTTGAACTATTTCCTTAAAGATATTGATCTTCTGACTATATGGAGGCGATTCGAGCCAAGACAAGTAAACATGAAGTATTGATTTTAGTACAAGAAACAAGTCTAGGTATTCCACAGAGACTAGCACAGGGGTTCTGAAAATGAACCTGAGGTTTTGAGTAAGTTTTCACCTACAGCTTTTGGAGGTTTAGGTTTGCTTTGGGTCTTGCAGGTAGTATTTGCTCCTTTTTTGTTTTTCTTTTTGTTTTGTTATAATGCTAGTTTTCATTATTGTCACACAACCAGGTTTTCGTCTTAGCATATACTAAAGGCAGGTTACAAGAGATCATCAAAGTCACGGGAAGAAGTAGCTAGCTTTGTCACGATGAACAAGGGAGGTGAAGCTTCCATTCTTGCCGTTTGTTAGCTGTGTGATGTTGGAGGTGACGTGGAACTTTCTTTGCTTCTCTGTCAGCGAATATTCCAAATAGGAATGCTTCAGCTTACATAAGACAACATACAGAAAGCACACAGAACTGTCTCTCAGTGTGCTGCAGCCAAAGACAACCAAGAGACATACCTATAGTTGGGATAATTTAGATCTATTACAGAGCATAAGAACATCACTATAATGAACCACAGGGCTCTTAGGAGAGGATGCTACAAAGCACTTGGAAGATCTGCATTTTGCCTAGGGGATTTGAGGAAAACTTCACAGAATACTGTTAGGAATGGCCTGGACTGAGTGCTGCCTTGAACTGGGGGGATGCAGTTTAGTACCCCTGGATATCTTGATATTTTCTAGGAGCATGGCAGCATGAAGCTCTAACTAACAACATGGCAGATACTCAGAGGAGGAATAGGCAACATCGAAAGAAAAAATTCAAACGAATATAGTTTTAAAAAGTAATTGCATTATATTTTCAATTGTAGAAAAAATACACTTCATCCTATAAATTACAAGGACTGTTCCACTGAGCTGAGCAGAAGACTGTGGTTCCATCAGGAGGAAAGGCTAAAGAAAGCAAAACTGAAGACTGAAAAGCAGACCAGTATCCTCTCAATCACTTCAAACAGGAAGGGTTTATTGAGGTAGGAAGGCAGGCCCTGGCTATGTAGTTCCATGGGCCTGGGGGTTGGACTGAATGAGAGGAATAGGTTGAACAGCACTATTCATCGCCCTGTGCTTCCGGCCTGCAGGGGCACTGTGAGCAGCCACCCTGTTTCTGCAGCTGTCTTCCCCACCATGACTTACGTTCCAGCTCAGAGTCAAAATAAACCCTTCCATCCAGCAGTTGATTTTGTCAAATATTTTATGGCAACAATTATGTATGAATTACTACAAGGGGAAGCAACCCCCCTTAAGAGTTTAGTATGAACATGCATCAATAAGAGCGAGTGACTCAGCTCTGGTTTGGTCTGCTAGAGCCTGCCTGTATCCAGAGCTGAGCCCATAATGAACCTTACTTAGTCCTCAATGGCTACCCATGAATTTAAGCCTTATGGGAATTTTGATATTATATACTATTTTTTTCTATGCTTAGACAAAGTTAAGTAGTGTTGTTCTGCCTTATTTCGTCAAGGTGGCAGAGTGCCCTTGTCTGACTCTGGTGTTCTCTAGATGTTGTCTAGACTATAAGGTATCACGTAGCAGGACAGCAGCAACAGGACCTGGCTTTGAGTGTCAGATCAGTTTCTAAAACCATGGAGCCTACTATAAAATGTCAAGATGTCAACTTGGTTTTTTTCTTCCCATACCCTTGGCACATAAAGATTCTAACGTAAATAAACAGGAGCTTGAGTTTCTAGTTTAGAAAGAGTACTCTCAATTCTCCCACAGAAATTCACTGCAACTACAACACACTGTTGGACAGAATGTTTGGAGAACTTTTTAGTATGTTTATGGTGGTTTAAATATGCATGGCCAGTGGGACTATTAGGAGGTGTGGCATGATTGGAAGAGGTGTGGACTTAGAGGAACTGTGTCACCAAGGGGATAGGCTTTGAGGCTACTGTGCTCAGGCTCCGCCCAGTGTGAACGAAACCTTCCTCGTGGCTGCCTTCAAATCAAGATGTAGAACTCTCTGAGCACTTCCAGCACTAAGCCTGCCTAGACACTGCCATGCTTCTTATCATTACGATAATGGACTGAACTCTGAAACTGTAAGCCACCTCGAATTAGATGTTTGCATTTATAAGAGTTGCCTTGGTCATGGTGTCTCTTCATAGCAATAAAACCCAAACTAAGACAATATTGTTTGCATCATTAAAGCTGAAAGCAGCATTCCCTACCCCTGATTCAGAGCAGACAACACAAAGGTCTTCCACTCTAATGAACAACTTGTAGAAAACCAACCCTGTGCTTCTGTAGCCTGTGTGGTGATACAGAATTGTAGGAGGCAAAAGGCAATCATGGAAAAATCTCAGGATCTAGAAATACTATTTTATCATTTCTGTTCAGCCTCAATGTCCAGACAGTTGCCATTACCATCCACTTAAGTGGTCCCTATGAATGGCTCCAGCAGAACATTAAGGTAAGGAATCACTGTATCAAATGAATTGATTAGAAGCAATAGCATTAATAACCAAAATACCATTGCACCCTCACTAAATTAGAAAATGTCTCAAAGCACTCCGCCATCAAGTTTTCCCTAAGATATAGAATATGTGAATTCCATAGGCAGAAGAAGTATAACGATAGGCAAGCACCTACAACAACAGTTAAGCTCAGGAAAGCAAATGCATGCAAATCTAGGGCCAAGAATTCCATACACAGATGCGGTCCTGAAGAAGCCCAAAATATATCTGAAGATATATGCCTTGCTTTGCACACTTTGTAATAGCAAAACAAGGAAACTATTTAACTATCATCCTGCAGTCAGGGGAAGAAGTAGATAAAGAGAAGTTGACTAGACAACGGAATGCTACTCCACATTTAAAAATAACTAGATGAATAATATTTAGAAAAATCTCAAAATGAAGAAAAAAATCAAGTAGAATCAAGTGTTGTGGCACACACCTATATTTCTGGCACTCATAGGCAGAGACAGAGGTCTAAGGCCAGCCTGGTCTACACAGCAAATTTCTAACCCATCCAGTAGTATATAGACTCTGGCTCAAAAAGGGGCACAGGGAGAATAATGTAGATACCTCTCTTATTTTTCTGAGAAAAATCATGCAGCATTTATTTAACTAATGTTTTAAATAGAGATTATGAATAGAATCAAAATATATTTATGTACAAAACCATCAGGATGTGATCCATTACTTTGTATAGCTAATTGTGCTACTGAAACTAAAGAATAAAAAAAAATGTTGCAACCTG